CCTTAACAGAGTTGCCAAGAGGTACTTGGTTTTCTAGACCTCCAAGTTGTTGACTATAACCCCGGGGGCATCCCCCACACTTGGCGGTGCACCCAAGCTAGCCCTTACGGCCAAGGGTTCATAGCAACTGAGATTAGGTGTCCCCATCTCACTCACCACGACCTTGGTGCCACTTGCACCAAAGTGTTCAAGTTAGATATGCTGAGCTTTCACACTAAGCAATCTAACCGTGCATCATGACTCCGAGGCATCCCTCGCTTGGCGGTGTGCCCAAACCAATCTCCCCACTGAGAGTCCATGACCACCGAAATATGAGTGTCCTCATATTCCAAACCATCACCACGCCCTAGTGATTTGGGACTCGAACCCAAGCACTAGAGGGTCGGGACTCGAACCCAACCTCCGTATATGCATCTACGGATGGCATCACACAAGATGCCTGGCGTGACTCCCCACGCCAGTGCACCAACTTTTTTTTATTTTTTTTTATTTTTAAAGCGCGCTACAGATCACAGCTTAGGAACCTAGTTCCTCCACACTGCCAAGTCCTCTCACTTGACATGTCTGTGATCATGCATGGACTCCTCCATGCTCAGCCCCATGGCCCATCCTTTTTGAAGTTATCACCTTCAACTAGGGTATTTGTTCCCCCAACGTGCCAATCTTGCTTGGCAAGTCCTCCGACCACTGTAACATGGTTCCTGCATAAGCGTGAAAGTCCTTGACCATCGACTTTCGTTCAAAGCCCTCTCTTTGAACACTCGGGAACTACTTCCCTAACCTTGATAGCCTTGCCTCATGGCAAGCTTCAAGACCACGCTTCTGCTGCGCCACTCTGATTTCGCACGTTCCATGAACCATTTACACTTGGCCTTTCCAGGTACTAAGCTACCTAGAATTGTCTTTGGGAACCTTGAAGGAATTCTGTCCCTCAGCTTGCTAAGGCCTCCCTTTTTGCAAGCCTTCCAAATGCCACATAGTCTAACATGGACAATTCTATATTTTAGACTCTCCATGGCATCACGGTTGCTAGCGGCAACACCCTCGAGCCCCCACTTGATTCTCCACTCCCAGCTGGCATAACCAACCTTGGTTATGCCCTTTGATTCCTACGGTTCGGTTCTATCCCCTTACTTCTTGCTTTTTGGCTTCACATCTTTCCTTTGGTCATTCTCCTCCAGACCAGGAGGATAGCTTCGCACTTTCTATCATGCTTTAGCAAGTATTCTTAGGGATGAACCTACCCAATAGCCTAGGGAGTGGTTCCTCAATCCGGGTATGCTCACCTTATAATCCCACACACTGGGATTACATTGTTGCTTATGGGCCTTTACATGCCCATCACTAGCCTTGCCAAAATTCCATTTTTGGCTTTGTCCAACTCGGGTAGACAGTCCTCTCCTGTCTCCGCAACCTTGGACATTTGGATAGCACCTTCTATCCATCATTCGCTAGGGACTTAATCCCTTGGGCTTTATCCATTGCCCTCGCGACATCAAACACCACCTTCTAGTGTTCTAGAGTGTTCGGGTGTCCCAATGATGGCTTTCTTGACAATGAGTATTTCCTTTTATGACATTGACTTACTATATCGCAACACAAGCAACTTATCCCCCGTAAGGGTATATCCAACTTCCCTATGCTATTAAGAAGTCTTGGGTAGCTACCTTCTACCCGTTTAACTAGTTATTTTGCACCTCTTGCTTAATTGCCTCATAGTTGTCAAGTTCTACAACTCATTGCTTGGTGCTTTCACACCTCCATCATTATCTGGGTCACCACACTCCAACTGCATGCTCTGCAGCTTAGGCTATGCTATTCCCATTTCCATTGGGATTCCTTTGGCAAGGGGTTCTCATGAACCCCCCAACATAGCCTCAAGGTATCACACCTTGGCACATTTGGTGTCTCCACACCATCGGCTCCACGAGCTTACCTCTATGACATTTCCCCTTCGTGTCTAAGTCTTTGCCAAGACCAACACTGGTCTTTCTCATGCCAACCATCCGTTAGCACTGCACCATAGAGGTCACACACAACTTTATGTCAAAGTTGTTTTCTTCTGGGAACACCTTTCCCATAACTTTAGCATGGCATATTTTGCCATCGATGAGATACCCTCTGTTCTCATCCTTGGATCCTATGATCCCCCCCCATCCTTTGTGGGGTACAACACACCTCAGTCCAAATGCTTCCATCAGTCCTTTTAGGACCATCCGTTGACTCTACTTGAGTCATCCAGCAGTTTTGGACTTGGTTAATCCACAAACCTGTAAGGTCCTACTTGTGAGGCACTAGCTCACTGGAATACACTTCTTGCATTCCTGTCCTACTCAAAAGGACTATTTTCACAAGTGCTACTCCGACACTTGATTTTGTTCTCTGGGGGCAACCTTTGCCCCTTAGGACTACTTGTCCATGTGATGAGAACACCAACTCATCCACTTAATACACCCCCAACTCCTGGGGTTGTTCCAGCATTTATTAGAGGTAGCCCCGGCTACCTTTTCAAGGACTTGAGTCCTCTTCCGTATTTGACTTCCCACGGTCATTACTTCTGGTCTCACATTCATGAGCACCAACCTCAACTATATGAGGAAAATCTTGTGACTCCTTTATTGCTTTGGAGTCTTTATCTTTCCCGTGATCCCAACTGTAGTTGTTTACCATAACTACATTAGCCAGTTTGCTAAGTCAAACGCTCATCTGGATCACATCCTCAACTCTTTGAGGAAAACCATATACTGTTCCCAAGATCCCAAAGTCGTTCCATTATTGGCCCTTTTCTATCCACCACCTCGTCTACAAGTTCACACATGAACTGTAATGGAGAGCCATGTCTTCCCGACTTGCTACTCCTCAAGGATAGGCCCACTCCTCGGACCTTCCGATGCCAACACTAATGGTGATATACTTGAGCACCAATAAAAGTCGGACTAAGGAACAGCTCTGATACCAAATTGTAAGCGACTAAATTTTCCATTCTACTATAGTCACTTAACCACACCTCCGACCACTTGGAGGAGTCTCATTCACAACCTCCATAAGCCCAACTCAGGACTTGGGGCTTGCTAGCCCCGAGAATGGCATCCATGCCACTCAACCTTAGCACTTGGTCCAAGTGCTCCACATGTCCGATCCCATGATCGACACCCCAAGATACCACCGACATATCGGCCCGTTACGCTAAGGCCATGCCCATTTACCTCGGTCACACTGGTGGTCCTACACCACCTACATTCCAATCCCGTCTCTCAAAGACTGGGTCATCCATCCATGAGTGATCATCCCAGATCCACTCCTTAACATCCTTAGGATGCCTACAGACATGGGGAATAGCATTCCCCAATATCTCTGTTCCGGTCCCCACCAAGTCCCTTTCTGTCCTTGGCTGTGTTCGCCAACACTGCCACTGGATCGAGGCCCACCGGCCCGACCACTAAGTCCCACTATCCTCTAGGACTTCCTCACTGTGTGACTGTGTCCTTGGTCACTACCCCAGAGGACTGCTCCTCTTCCTTTCCACAGTCTGGGCCTTTGGGACAACATTTCGGAACACCGTGGCCTTACGCGAGCCACCTGGGTACTCTCCTCGCCTTCTGCCGTTGGGTGCTCTAGCCATGGGCTTAGAGCGGGTTCCGTTGAGCCACACCAGGTATCCAAGTAGGTAGTGCCACCCACACTTGGACTGGGAGCATCGGCCAGTCAATCTCCCGGGGGAACTAGAGCCGCTCTTGAACACTTCACCAAGCTACCCCGCTTGTCGGTCCGTGTTCACTCTAGTCTTGGACTTCCCAGTGGGCAACTCATCACCCAACACTGGGTCTGGCCTTCCTGGGCCAAACTGGCCTTTCCTGGCCAAACTGGCTCCACTGCAGTCCTCCCCCCACTATACTTTTGGAGCTCACCAAACCCCCCAGGGTCTGGGAGACGAACGCTTTGGGCTTTCACCCTCTCAGGCTCCGGACTCGGACTCGGACTCGGACTCGGACTCAGACTCGGATTCGGACTCGGACTCGGGCTCGGGCTCGGTCTCGGCCTCGGTCTCGGCCTCGGCCTCGGTCTCGGTCTCGGTCCCGATCTCGGTCTCGGTCTCGGTCCCGATCTCGGTCTCGGTCTCGGTCTCGTCCCTGGTCTCGGTCCCGGTCTCGGTCTCGACTTCGGACTCCATCTCGGACTCCATCTCGGACTCCATCTCGGACTCCATTTCGGGTCCATCTCGGGTCCACCTCGGACTCCATCTCGGACTCCATCTCGGACTCCATCTCGGGTCCATCTCGGACTCCACTTTGGACTCCAACTCGGGTCCATCTCGGGTCCACCTCGGACTCCACTTCGGACTCCAACTCGGGTCCATCTCGGGTCCATCTCGGACTCCACTTCAGACTCCAACTCGGGTCCATCTCGGGTCCACCTCGGACTCCACTTCGGACTCCAACTCGGGTCCATCTCGGGTCCATCTCGGACTCCACTTCGGACTCCAACTCGGGTCCATCTCGGACTCCACTTCGGACTCCAACTCGGGTCCATCTTGGACTCCACTTTGGACTCCAACTCGGGTCCATCTCGGACTCCACTTTGGACTCCAACTCGAGTCCATCTCGGACACTCCCACGTGTCATGTGTTGGTCCTTTTGGGTCCCTTTTTGGAGCCTCGCCCCTTGCTCGCTCCGTGCTCGTTCCTTGGGCACTTCGTTGGGAGTTCCACTCCCGCTCTTGACTTTTCAAGTCGGAGCTTTTGGTCCAAACGTGTTACGCTCGTTTGGCTCTCGCTTCGGCCACTACCATGTGGCGCCCTTCCGGCTCCACTTTGGGGCCTAGGGATTTTGTGTCTCACAAGGACATGCCTGAGGGATGCTATCGCGCGCTTGGAAAAGGTACTCCAAAATGAACAGTCCTGGTTATATCATTGTTCCATCTGTATATTGTGCGCCACTGTCGAGCAAAAGCAGATTTTCATCATCCACTAAGGCTCCATTTGCACCCAATCCTGTAAGGACTGGTAAGAGCCAACAATTTTGCAATGGTAGAAAATACAAGCCACAAATTGTATCAAAGCTAGTTTCTAGAAATCCATCCTTGTTGGAACGAGAGCAGAGAAGTTCATCGCCAACTTCCACCTCCGTAAGTTTGGCTTTCTCAGTAACGATTTTTACTTTGAGCCAAGCCCAAAACTCAACCAGCATCCCTGCTCGGAAAGACCCGGTTACAATTGCAAAGAAAACGACGGAACTTTTACCTCAAGTGTTCTTGTTTCATCCCTGAGATCTCAGCAGCATTTTTTATGGCCTTCGGCACAGATAGCGGCAATGGTCTGTGTAATACAGCCTGTCCATCTGATGTTCCATTTTTCCCATCGACATCCGCTTTGGCATAAAAGCTCGTACATCCTTCCGAAAATGCATTCACAATGGCCATGTTGGTTTTGGTTGGATCTAGCCACAATTTTGAGCCCGACTCAACTAATTTAAAAGAACATTGCATTAGCAACTCCCTAACACCAAAAGGATAGCACACCTTTGAATAGTTGATAGGAGCGCGGAGTACTCTTTGACGGTCACGGAAGAGTTTTCCAGATGCATCTCAACGTCTGGCGTCACCTTTGACACATCAGTGAAAAGAGTTGCCTTGTCCATCTGGACAAGCGCGTAAGCATAAGCCACTGGAGAATGAGGGACATTGCCACCACACTGAAACATAAAAATTCAGAAGAGAAAAGTACAGACGTTCACTTACAAGATTAAACAGCCATGCAACTTCTTCGAGCATGGTTATCACGACGCCAGTAGCACCAGCTGCGGAAAGTTTCTTTCTCGCATCCGAGAGCTTCATCGCGACATCAACGCCAGCGTAAATCAAATCGTGCACTCTCAGAGGAGACTTGCGGACAATGTCAAGGTCTCCCATCGAGTCAAATCTCATCAATCAAGTTGAGATCGACAAAAGTGAGTTGAATCTCTTTGGCTGACAAGGTTCGCCTGAGCTCCTCCGCACCATCGTGGCTGACAAGAAACCGTCAAACATGAGAACGGAGGTTTAGAAAAGCACCGTAGCTTACAGGATCAGAGAGATTGTCTCTGAGCCACTCACTGTATGAAGGCACGCCAACAGAGCCACCTCTCATGAGCGTCCATTCAAGTCCAAGTTGGTTCTCAGCCTACACACGGAAATGAGAAATCTGTGCAGGAAGAAAGCAAAAGAATGAAGTTGAATCAATTACCTGAAGATAGTATCGACCATCCGTCCAAAGCGCAGCCTTCTCCATGGTGATCACAGCAGTTCCTGCGCTTCCCGTGAATCTGAAATGTAAGCTCGTCGCGTGAAGCACTCGGCTATAAATTCACTCTGCATACGCACCAGTGAGCTACTTACAAAAAAGAAAAGAGGAAACAAGAAAAAAAAATCCTAGAGTCCTTTTTTTCATTCTCAAGGAAGACGCAAGTACCTGGTGAGCGTCCTCCGAAGGCACGATGTAAGCTTGGACGCCCAATTCGCTCATCAATTTCCTCAAATCCGCCAGCTTCTTACAGGAACAAATTCCTTGTCATTGACATTCTTCCTCGCATTCCTGACGGACGAAGGCTCTGCCGTGATCCCGGGCCCCGGATTCTTGGATCCCGAACACAATGCTGTGAGATTTCCTCTTGGAGACGGCATTGCCATGAAAATCGAAGAGGAGCGTCTGATTCCGGCGCCAATGCCCCTGCGCGCGGCAGCAGCTGAGAGAACCGAATGGCGGCCCGGACGATTGGAAATCCAAAAACACCTCAACAATCGCGCGCTCCCGAATTGCGGGAGGGCGAGGAGCCCTAGAGCTTGACTCCATTTTTTAACCAGCTCTCAGATCTGGAGCTCGATTCCAAGAACGAAAACAATTCGATAAACATCATGTTATTCCGACCTAATTGGACTATTTCTCCAAATGTGACAATTGACTAGTAAATTTTTTATGGAAGCTTACCTTGCACATGATGAACATTAATGGCTGTTAGCACAAAGACTGAGTCCCTCAGAATAATACTTTAACTTTTCCAAAAAAAAAAAGAGAAATAAGACTTTCAAAACAATTTAAGTCAACCGAGCCAAGACAGTTGACTGTTATAATATGCATTACCGTTTAAAGAATACTTTGAAGAATATTACCAAGTTTTATTGCTGTTTTTGAATATCTAAAAGTATTCTTTTTTAATAATTTTATATTCAAAAATATTTCTTCATTATAATATACTTTATGCTGTAACTATAAACTATTATATAATATTAGATATTATTATAACTACAATAAATTATAACTCAAATCCCTATTCAGCTAACTAAGATTAGATATTGGTAGTTTACACAAATCTAAATATTATTAAAATTATTAATTTGGTTTAAAATGCCTCCAGCATGCTGCTAGATTCGAATGGTGCCAACATTGCTCAGATAGCGCTACATTCCAGGTGACTGCTGACAAAAGAAACCTTTTCAATGAAAATATTGCTACTAAAATCTTTAAAAAATATTCTTTAGAGTGCCAAAATATTCTTAAAATATTCTTGTCAATGGCTATGGCTCCCTTGGCTCCCTGTTGACATGGCTCCCTATATTGGCAGATCCCTTTCAAAAGAAGCCAATGGAAGTCTGGTTTGTGCAGGATATATTCAAGAGGCCAATCTCAAACTGGTGAAGTGAGTGCTTCATTCCTTCTTGCAGCATGGAGCTTTTCCTACAGTCCTGGAATGCTCTGAACTTTCTGGTGTTTCTACTCTCTTTGTGGCTAATCTCCCGAAAGTTCTACAAATCATCCACGCGCCAGGAAGCCATGGCTTGCCACTTGTCAGAGAATCTCTCTCTCTCTTTTGGGGATCCCCTCTAGACTTCCTCAGCACTCGACGCAAAAGGTCCTTCTCTGACTTTCACTTCGATCTTGATTTAACTAACTGCATTTTACAGGTATGGAGGAGTTTTCTGGAGTAACTTGCTTGGATCTCCCACCATCGTTGCAACAACAGTAAAGTCGGCCAAGTTCTTCCTCAGCTGCACTGACTGTGGCCCCTCGGGTCTGTTTGCCCGATTGCTTGGGCCGGAAACTATAAACGAGGTCATCGGGAGTCAGCATGCGCTCTACCGGAGAATCATTCTGGGGATGATGGTTCCAGAGACACTCAAGTGCCACGTCCAAATGATTGATATCTTGGCTCAGGAGACTCTCGAGTCGTGGGGGTCGAAAAAGATGGTGTCGGTTATGGAAGAAACTCTCAAGGCTTTCATCACGTCTTTGTTTTGCTTGATCCTTTGATCTGGTTTTATACTCTTGCCAGTTTAGCTACTGCACGGTGATTGGATTAGTGTGCCAGAAACTCCTGCCCTCCACTCCAGAGATGATCGATCTCATGCGAGACATCCTAATGATAGAGAATGGGGTATTCCAGTTTCCAATCGACTTACCCTTTTCACCTTATCACAAAGCGTTACAGGTTTTTGCGTGGTTTTTAATTTTTCTAATTCTGGATCTATTGTTGTAATTGAGCAGGCCAGGGCAAGGCTCCACAGATTCTTGGATGGGCTCATCAACAAGAGAAGGGCCGAACTAGCTGCCAACAGTGAAACGCACAAAGATGCACTGGACGAGTTTATTACGCATAAAGATGACAAGGCTGGATTCCTCTCGAATCAACAAGTGGAAGACAATCTTGTGACACTGCTGTTCGGAGGCCACCACACCACAGCCCTTGCTCTCGTGTGGCTGATGAAACACTTGAATGAGAACCCACAGGCTTTCAAGGAAGTGGAGGTTATTATTATTGTTATTATTATTATTGTGAATTTTTAAAATTCTGTTTTGATTTCTAGGAGGAGCAAACGAGAATCTTTCTTGGTAGAAGCTCCAACAATTACAACTTAACTTGGGAAGACACAAGACAGATGCCAGCCACTCTAAGGGTTGTGGACTAAACTCCAATTTTATGTTAGATTTAATTCGAGTGGTTTTGTAGGCTGTCAATGAAAGTATGAGGCTTTCTAATGTTGTGGGGGTGGTGACACGTAAACTCACTAAGTATATCAGCTACAAAGGTTTTATTACATATGATTGAAGCTAATTCCAATTGTTTGTCTTCTTAACAGGCTACACCTTGCCCAAAGATTGGATGATTCATGTCTATATGCCACCAATCCACTTAGATGACAGCATTTACCTCAATGCAGCAAAATTTAATCCATCCAGATTTGAAGTATGGTATTTTTTGTGTTTATACTAAACCAAACTTTTATTTTAGGTTCCAGCTAAAACTGGCACATTTATTCCATTTGGCTATGGAGATAGAATATGCCCAGGGAGAGCATTAAGTCTAGAGAAAATGATTTTCATACACAGGCTTATCACAAAATACAGGTAAATTCTTTTGCTCCTCCTTTCTTGTCAACAAATTGTAATCTTTTATTGAAGATGAATCCAAACAGTAAAACAAGCTACTGGCCAATGCCATCCGTGAAAGATGGATACCTCGTACATACTATAGTAAGAAATAAGAAGAAAATAAGCCTTTACTGATATTTAGGGTTACAAAACAAGAACATCTCGAAGACACGAAGTAAATTCTGCACAATGAAAAAGAGAATGAAAAAATCAGAATGTTATTCTGATTAACTTTCTTGTCTCACCTCTATTCAAATTCCAAAGCTGTGATCTTCATAATAACCAGGGCTCGTTGTTGATTATCATGCAGTCATGTTTCCAAATCTAAAACTGATGAGGGCCTTCATGGACATTGAGAGCAGCGCCAACTCAATGGCCAGTTTCTACATTTCCACTGCACATCAAGAGAGTACTTAATTCACTGTAGGTGAGAAAACACTACCGTGACAATAGTCAAGTCCAATTCTCAGAACGAAGCCTGGAGTATTCTCTGGGAAAACTGCTTGATCAATCGATATGTGCCCCTAAAATACAAACAAGTCAGCTAAAAAGACAACAAATGATCCAGAGGGTGCCTTTAAATCTCACATATCTCCCATTACACGGACAAGCCCTGGCATGTTAAGGTTAGCAAAGAATACCAAGGCTTGTCTTTACCAGCGGGACATGCCTAAGGGATGCTATCGCGCGCTTGGAAAAGTTACCTCAAAATGAACAGTTCCATCTGTATATTGCGCCCCACTGTCGAGCAAAAGCAGATATTCATCGTCCACTAAGGCTCCGTTTTCACCCAATCCTGTAAGGATTGGTAAGAGCCGACAATTTTGCAATGGTAGAAAATACAAGCCACAAATTGTATCAAAGCTAGTTTCTAGAAATCCTTCCTTGTTGGAACGAAAGGTGAGAAGTTCATCACCAACTTCCACCTCCGTAAGTTTGGCTTTCTCAGTAACGATTTTTACTTTGAGCCAAGCCCAAAACTCAACCGGGGCTGCAGCATCTCTGTTCGGAACAATTGCAAAGAAAACCACAGAAGTTCACCTCAAGTGTGCTTGTTTCATCCCTGAGATCTCAGCAGCATTTTTTATGGTCTTCGGCACAGATAGTGGCGATGGTCTGTGTAATGCAGTTGGACCATCTGATATTCCATTTTTCCCATCGACATTCGCTTTGGCATAAAAGCTCGTACATCCTTCCGAAAATGCATTCACAATGGCCATGTTGGTTTTGGTTGGATCTAGCCACAATTTTGAGCCCGACTCAGCTAATCTAAAAGAACATTGCGTTAGCAACTCCCTAACATCAAAAGGATGGCACACCTTTGAATAGTTGATAGGAGCGCGGAGTACTCTTTGACGGTCACGGAAGAGCTTTCCAGGTGCATCTCAACGTCTGGCGTCACCTTTGACACATCAGTGAAAAGAGTTGCCTTGTCCATCTGGACAAGTGCGTGAGCATACGCCACTGGAGAATGAGGGACATTGCCACCACGCTGAAACATAAAAATTCAGAAGAGAAAAGTACAGACATTCACTTACAAGATTAAACAGCCATGCAACTTCATCGAGCATGGTTATCACGACGCCAGTAGCACCAGCTGCGGAAAGTTTCTTTCTCGCATCCGAGAGCTTCATCGCGACATCAACGCCAGCGTAAATCAAATCGTGCACTCTCAGAGGAGACTTGCGGACAATGTCAAGGTCTCCCATCGAGTCAAATCTCATCAATCAAGTTGAGATCGACAAAAGTGAGTTGAATCTCTTTGGCTGACAAGGTTCGCCTGAGCTCCTCCGTACCATCGTGGCTGACAAGAAACTGTCAAGGCAATAATTACATGAGAACGGAGGTTTAGAAAAGCAAAAGAAAAACTGTAGCTCAAAAGAATGATCTCGACACCTTACAGGATCAATGCCTACAGCCAAACCACCAGAGAGATTGTCTTTGAGCCACTCACTGTATGAAGGCACGCCAATAGAACCACCTCTCATGAGCGTCCATTTAGGTCCAAGTTGGTTCTCAGCCTACACAGAAGCAGCAAAAAACAATGAGAAATCTGTGCAGGAAGAAAGCAAAAGAATGAAGTTGAATCAATTACCTGAAGATAGTATCGACCATCCGTCCAAAGTGCAGCCTTCTCCAAGGTGATCACAACACACAGCAGTTCCTGCGCTTCACGTGAATCCTGAAATTTAAGCTCGGCGCGTGAAGCACTCGGCTATAAATTCACTCTGCATACGCACCAGTGAGCTACTTACAAAAAAGAAAAGAGGAAACAAGAAAAAAAATTCCTAGACTCCTTGTTCTCTTTCTCAAGGAAGACGCAAGTACCTGGTGAGCGTCCTCCGAAGGCACGATGTAAGCTTGGACACCCGAGTCGCTCATCAATTTCCTCAAATCCGCCAGCTTGATTCCCCCTGCGCGCAGCAGCAGCTGCGAGAACCGAATGGCGGCCCGGGCGATTGGAAATCCAAATACACCTCAGCAATCGCGCGCTCCCGGGAGGCCGAGGAGCTTTAGAGCTTTAACAAAAATTTCTTCAGCTCCATTTTTTAACCAGCTCTCAGATCTGGAGCTCGATTCCAAGGACGAAAACAATTCGATAAACATCGATCTTCCGACCTAATGGGACTATTTCTCAGCCAGAAGAATAATACTTTAATTTTTTCCATAAAAATTAAGAGATATAAGACTTTCCAACAACCTTTCGAAAGAAGTCAACGCGCAACGCTTTCGACAGGATCAAAGAGAAGAACCAGGTGGCCTGGAACGCGATGATCACAGCATACACTCAAAACGCTCACTTTGATCTTGCGAGGGGTTTGTTCGATCTCATGCCTGGACGCTCATGCTCACGGAGTTCGCGCAGAAGGGACTTACCCGGGAAGCACGAGAGATCTTCGATCGAATTCCCGTTTGGGACACGGCTAGCTGGAACGCCATGATCTCAGCTCACGCAGAAAATGGAGAAAGCTTGCGAGCTTCTAGCAAAGATGGATCTGGAAGGATTTGAGGCGGACAGAGCTACGTTTATCGGCGACCTCGCACCATCCGAGGCAAGGTTGCTCCATGATTTGATATCCAGCTCGGGTTGTCGCAGTGATAGCTCAGTCGCCACCGCACTGGTGAGCATGCACGGCCGATCTGCTCGCCTCGCCGCCGCTTGCGAGATTTTCGACGCGGCTCGCGAGAAGAACGTCGTGCTGTGGAGCGCGACGATTGGGATCTATGCCGACAATGGACTTTTCGACGCGGCCATGGAGCTCTAGTGCTCACGCGGGGGGCTTGAGCAACGCGAGGCAGTGGTTCTTCTCGGTGGCGACGGACTTTGGGGTGGCCTATACCAGGGATCACTGCGTTTGCATGGCGGAAATGCTAGCGCGTTCCGGCCTCATGGATCAAGCACGGGAGCTTGTGAGTGATATGCCGTTTGTGCCGGATAGCTGCTCGTGGAAGACGGTGCTCGTTGGGTGTTTAGTCGTCGTGATCGAATGTGAGCCGGAGGACTCATCGCCATACATTGTCAAACATCTATTCCGCAGCGAAGGACGAAATTCTTGTCTAGCTAATTGCTGGCCAATTTTGGAGGAGCTAATAGGGATAAGCTTCCGTTCTTCCTTGGTTTTCTTGGTTTTCACAAAGCATTGTTTCGTGATTTCACTGTAACAGGACAACAGGGCATCAGTACACCTTCGTGAAGAAGGTATTAAGAATGGTTTGGATATTGCTGGATTCTTGGTGCAGCAAAACTTTGACTTTCCACTCTGCAGCCCACCAATTTCAGTTGCTAGATTTCTCAATAGGATAATGCGGCATTCTAGCAGCGTTTCTAGCTTGACCATGCAGATCTATGCGGTAGATCGGTCATTTTGGTCGCCCACAAGTGGTGCAGGACATTGAACTTTTCGTGATTACGTAAAGTGCGTTTCTTCAAAGCACACATTTGACTTGCGACTTTCTATGCACAGCCACCAACTTCAGCAGGCCGAGCTCTCGATTTAAATGTTATCCGCACTCTGATATCAGGAAACTCGCTTCACTTCATCCGGGAAAAGCTAGAACAAGCTCTTTCTTGATCGTGGTATGTGATTTCACGAGAGAAAGCTTTGATATTTGTTTTCACTAATTCGTGAAAATCTAGCAAAGATGGCCTCGCGCTTGAACGTCTACGCCGAGAAGCCAATGACCATCAAACCGGCGCGTCCCACCAAGAACCAGACCATCTTTCTCAGCAACATGGGCCAGCAAGTCTTCTTCCACGTCGAGATGCTTTTCATGTACGATGTGCAGTCCCCGGACACGTGAGACGTGACGTACGCAACGCTCTCGCCGAAGCTCTCATTCCATACTACTTCGCGGCGGGGAGATTCAGAGTGAACGAGCAGGAGAAGAGGCTTGAGGTGGAGTGCAATGGAGCCAGGGCAGACTTTGCCGGTGCCTTTTGCGATTCCAGCATCGCCGAGCTGGGTGATCTGCGAATTCGCAATCCAGACTTCCGGAAGCTGCTCGTTTACCCGGTTGATGTCAAGAGGATCGAAGATATCGCCTTGTTCTCCATCCAGGTAAGCCAGAACTTCTTCTATTTTCATTCTTTCTTTGTTCTCATCGCTCTTCTTTGTGTTCTTGAAGGTGGGGGGATTCATTGTCGGGATTTACACTAGCCATGTCGTGTTTGATGGGATATCGGGGTGCCAGTTCTTCAGCGACATCGGCAGGATCTCTCGCGGCGAGTCCATCGCGGCCAAGGCAAACCATGACTCCCGACAGGACGGCCCTCCGCTCGCGATCGCCACCGAGAATCTCCTACGCCCACCCGGAGCTCATGAGACTCCCGGACATTCCCGCGAGGCTGCTCTTCAATCCGGCCTCGTGCACGCTTTCAAGTCGTTCTCCTTCTCTCTCGCGCAGCTCGATCTTCTCAAAAAAGAGCTATCGAGGGAGGAGAGGTCTCCCGCTGCTCCACCTTTGAGGCCCTTACAGGCCACGTCTGGAAGGCACGCACCACCGCTCTTGGGATGGACCCATCCGCCATCGCCAAGCTTTTCGTGGCGATGAACCTCTGGGACATGCTCAAGAGCCCGGCGCTACCCGACGGCTTCACGGGCAACGCGGTGGTGGCGGCGCCGTACGTTGACACGACCGCTGACTCGGTTATCAATGGCTCGCTGTCGCTGTGTGTGCGCAAGGTCCGGGATGCAATCGCGAGCGTGAACGAGGAGTACATCCGGTCGGTGATCGACTGGTGCGAGGTCAACGGGCACGGGATCATTGAACTCGGCGGCATGATCATCACGCCCTGGTCAAAGCTAGCTTTTGATGGCGTTGACTTTGGGTGTGCCGCCGGTCAACGACAGGCTCGCTGGTGCTGTCTAGCTGCAAAGGAGATGGCAGCGTGGACGTGTTCATGGCTATGGAGTTTCACAAGATGAGAAAGCTGGAGGAGTGCCTTAGTATATGAGCGTTTTGTTTAGTTTAATCTGTCAGCAAGTGAATGTATTCTTATATTTTACTTTTCATTTTCTCATAAAGGTATAGAAACTATAAGAAGTTAGGTTTAAGATTATAAAACGTAAAGGGTTCTTATATATTTTCATTTTTCATATTATGAAAATTAATACAATTTGATTCTAATATAAAAACCATTTCAACAAACTAACCAAGTAATATACTAGATTCAAGATAAGATAGTATATTAATATATACTGTTTTGGTAATAAGTTCTTTATTTTTTTATAATTTATATTTTACTTCACAGTGTGTACAATATATTAATAAGTTGAAGATATGTAAAATAAATTAATATTAATTTAGCAATGAAATTAGATTACATATTATTATAAATATTTTAGGGTTTTTGGCATTTATTAAGTTCTTTTGTATAATAAAAATGAATTTTTTTCTTTTTATAATTTATTTTAATTATTTTGATTTAAAATTTTTGAGTATTAAAACAAAGTGATACTAGAAAAATTACTGGTATTATACAATAACAGAACTAATAGGTAGGACATTGTAATGATGATTATTTTTTAAATATACACTAAAAAAGGTTATTTTGAAGTTTTGTGGAAATGAGACTTTAATGTTCTTCAAATGATAATATTCTTTTATTAGTAAAGGAAAATATCACTTGGTTTTTGTAATTCTCCACTTTTTCAAATCTTCATAAAAGATAATAAATAAAAATAATTCTATAAGAAGAAGTAAGAATAAAATAATTTTTTTATTATAAAAATTAACATTGAAAAAATATATATAATACATTTTTATTGCTACCAAATTTTAATTTTCAAATTAATTATTTCATAAACTTGAAAGGCAATTCCTCATTGCTACTTTAACATCTATTCTATGGCTAAGGACAAAAATTAGATTGCTGGCCAACTAAGAGAGGTAAGCTTCCATTCATTCTACTTAGTTGGAAGATAAGAATCAGTACACTTTTGTGAGCTTCTGGAAGAGGGTATTAAGAATGTTTTGAACCTTTCACCTTCTACTTGCAAGCTTTCTCAATCTTAAAAAATAAGAGAATGTGGTAAGATTGCTTTTAACTTAAGAAGCTTGTCAATGTCTTTTTGCAGCAGATCAGTCATTTTGGTCACCCTGAAGTGTTACAGCACAGTAAACTTATACATAAAATAATGAAATTTCTAGAATTTCTAGCTCCATAAATTTTTAGGGTTCTTGGGGGCGGGAATCCGTTGATTTGTATAGTCCAAGGAGCATCGTTCTCACGCAGCAATCTTTGTAAAGAAGCACGTAGTAGAAGTGAAATCTAGAACAGTTTAAGAACTATTAAATTTACATCATGTGGAACACTGGAGTCTTGGTGAAAAACTCGGTGATCACCAAGGCGAGGAAGCCAAGCATCGCGGTTCGCCCATTCCAGCGCTCCGCCATGGCTCTAAATGGCCCAAACGATCTGCTGTCCGGGCTCTCGCCCTTAAACATGGGCACCAGCGACGCGTACGCGAATAGCTGTGCCACCGCCAGAAAATGGAAAAGACCAGTGCTCCCCGGCGAGTAGAGCTGCTCCGCCACCGTTTGTCCCGTCATTCGCTCCACCGCGAATGCCCACACCAATCCAATCATTGCCTGCTTGTCAAGTTCACGAAGTTACTTCCCAAGATCTAGAAGAACAACCAACAATCGCTTACCAGTCTTCCGTTGATCGTTTCCGGGCCGGCTCCATCGAACGCCATCAAGCTGGGGAACGATCGATCTCCAGTCTCTGGTCGCCTCTCGACCTCTGGCCTGGGATAGAGCGATCCGGACGATGGGACGGCTCCAAACACGGAGCGCTTCTCCGACTCGTTCTCGGCCTGGTTCTTGAGCACCTCCTCGCGAGTGATCTCCTTCTTGGTGCCGTCAAGAACGCCACTGATGCCGCCATCGCCACCATCCCTTGATTTGTTCGAGGACGCTCTTATTACTACTAGATTTCTTGTGCCGATGGAGCTTGTGGGCGATTTCGATTGGACATAGAGCTTGTTGGAGATGAGCGAGGAAGAAGAGAGAGCTGCGATACCACTGCCTGTGACGAGTGCCATTGTTTTCAGCTGGGAGTTAGCTAGCAAAAAATCAGTGTGCAATGAACTTACGATGAGATACTTTCTTCTTCGTTTGAGATGGCTATGGCAAATGGCACACATGTATTTATGTAGTATGGGGATCGTACGTGGCAAAATCTAGATCCTGGCTCGTGTCCACTGTATGTGTCGCACATCTTGTGACGGTGAAAATGGCCGAAGGTAAGACTTCTCGGGAGAATGCAAGGTGCGATACTTTGGGACTTTCGTTTCGTTTCGCAATAGAAACGGCACACGGGGATGCTCTTTTGTCTTGAGTGTTAATGTAATACCGTTAATCTTCGTCAAACATTCCTGGAAAGGTTTGCTCGAGAGCGCTTCCGGCGCATCAAACTCGACTGTCTCTGCTGTATGTATCACGAGAAAGAAAGAAAAACGAGTTACCTCAAAACATTAAACAAGATCAAACAGATTTTGTGATTCGATAAGTGGCAGGCTTGGAAGAGATGGGACACAGCCTGGGAGTGCAAATCCATGGCTCTCCCGACCCACGATCGCTGACAAGCTTGCCATGAATCCTCTGGCCGGGATCTCTCGAGGCCAGAGCTCTTCCCAGCCGCAATGAGGGTATGGCGACCGGGCGTGGCTGCTGCTACTCCATGAGAAGCTCCGGTGGTGGTGAGTAAAAGCAGGCCATCGATCGATCTATGTCTGTGTGCTCATGCTTCGAGGGATGCTGGCTGGTGGTATCAAGAATGCCAGTGAACGTTGCAGCCTTTGCCTCGCACGGGCATTTCTTCGGGGCTCTTGCTTTGCACCGCAGTTATTGTTATGAGATGGCTTGACACAGCGACATTCTTCTCCACGGATCTTGCGTTGGTACGTATAATGGGGGCCTGGAAGCAAACGATACGTCGAAGCATTTGCCTGGCTTGGGTATTTTGTGTGGCGCATGTTGGTTAGTGTGCCCCGAGGACTCTTGAGGCGGCATCCAGCTCACCACTTGCTTTTATGTCTTGGATTGCTTCTTGCACAACGAGAAGCACTTTACCATGCAGGAGGAATATGAGCAAGAGGTGGAAGGCAAGCAGCCATATCGTGATTGGGATATCGTGCCTGAGCAAGGAAAATGAGGTAGCCCAGCTAGATTGTGCTCTTGTCTTGTACAGCAAGCTTGTCCTCTTTCATCAGTCCAGAGACTTCCATCTTCACCTTCAGGGTAGCTGATCATATTGTTTCTGGACGAGTCTTGAAACTGCATTCAAAGAGCAGCAAGAAGCTTTGGAAGGAACACCCATGGGCTGGTTTTGAAGAAGTGCATTTTCATCAGTCCGTCATCAGCTGCTCAGAAGGTGACTATTTAAGTCCAATGAACCGAGCCTTTATTGGGAAGCTGCAGCTCTCTTCCCATTCAAATGATGTTTGAATGGGGAGGACTCCAATGGATGGAAGAGGATGAAGTGGTATGGTCTGTGGTGTCAAGCTCGCCTGCCAAGTTTAATGAGCCTATTGATTCTTTGCGGTATCATGAAGCCGAACGCGAATAGTTGTTGTAGGATAAAATTAATTATTTTAATTTTTTTACAAACCATAAATTATTCATGAATATTTATTTTAAGTGAAACTAAAATAATTTACAGTTTATAATGACATGAAAAATATTTATGAAAATACATCCACTGCTACAACGCTAATAGTAGTGTAGCATATCAACCACATTGAATCTAATCTATCCTTTCCTATATATAAGCAAAAGTCTATTCATACACCAGATTCATTTAATTGCATTCAAAAGCTACACTAAGTGTTTTAGTCTTGCTTGAACTCTATTGTCCACCAAAGTGTTATGATTAATTGCATAATAAGTAGTAGTTCCATGGTAGAGGTAATATATAACTCTAGTACATTAGTGTTTGGTATTGAATAATATCATTTCTTCAAATGCCAACTTAAAAGATTTTATAACTTGCCTCCAACCTTCAAGGAGGTATTAAGATTTTAATATATAAATAATTTTGTTTTATAGATCACAATCACTTGGAGTTTTTAGAGCTTGAGGCTTTGGAATCACCTATAAGTTTGGATACAAAATCTCTTATTAAAAACTAGCAAAAAACTCCAAGTACCTTTGCAAATTGCAAACTTTAAGACAACTGCATTGATCATATCCACATCCAATATAGTACATTGTCGCTGTTGGCTCTCCAGAAAGGGCTCTCACAGAAATCTCCATTCTAATGAATATTCAATATGCCCGAATATTCACGTCTTGAGTTTATTCATAGAATATTCTTTGGAGTTGTTTTAAATGCTTGCGCCCACGAGGAACTCGTTATCGCTTTCCACAGGATGGAAGGACGATGGATACCTTTTGCCTGTACACTCACACACACACAAAGAACGTGGAAATAAATTCCATGAAGGATTTAGTGACGAGATTTTTACCAGAAGGAAGCATATGATTTTGAAGGAACGCAAGGCAAGCTCTACTGTTGATATCTTTCGCGAGCTGGACGTCGAGATCTCCAGACAACCTTGGAAAGAAAACGAAGAGAAACATGGAGCGAGCTTTGAACCAGTACGAACTTACTTGAGTTTCTTGGACATCATCGTAAGAAACAATGGAAAATCAGATTGATCCTGGTGCTCGGTGTGCTACAAATGCGAGAAGATGTATGTAAACTTCCCCGAGTGAGAGAAATCAAGCAAAGCTGACCTTGATCGTCAAGAGCTTGGTTTCAAGAGATTGCCCGTTCTTGGTTTTCGTCCCAGCTCTTGCATTGAGATACACAAGACGAGCTTCTTTCAAGGCCTTCCAATCGAAGTTTTCAGTGTTAAGCAGGAGAACGGGAACATGTCCAGAGACCTTCTCATAGTCTACCTGCGGAACAAAATGTCTCATGAGAAGATCAAAGATCAAGCGGGCTTACTTTTTCCACGGGCTCCCACCAGACGTCTAGCCCGAGCGAGCACTTGAAACGGGTGGTGATAGCTCCAGGCGCTATGATCGCAGTTGCTCCACCAAAAGAATGTCCAGCAATGGCTATTCGATCCAAGTCCATCCTCCCTTTGAACATGGTAACGTCCAAGCTATAGTCTCCAGTGACTAAGTTGGAGCTTATACTTCCATTGTTTAGCTCGTCGAGCCCATGAAGGACGAGCTCAATCTCCTTGACTCTCTGATACATTGTAAAAAGCATGAAACTACAAGAACCAAAGAGGAGGAAAGAAAAAAAGTTTCCTGGACACACCTGTTTGAGTTGCATGCCGCGATCCTTCATTTTCAGATCGTGCAAGTTTGAATTGGCGTACTTGTGCTCAATCCATCTCTCCGATCCCTTGTTGTCAATGTAACTGGCAATGTTCGCGGAGCCATCTAAATGCTCCGGAGCCACAACGACTGCCATGACAACTTCCCAAAGTTTAGAAAAGATTCACGAACAAACAGAAAGAAAAGCTAGAAAAGCTCGAAGAACGACATAACTGTACCCATACGACGCTAGATCCGAGCAAAGCGTGCTGTAAGTTGCTCTACAAGCCCACAAACCATGGGAAAAAACCACCACTGGGAATCTCTCCTCCCCATCCTCTACCAAAATTGGCTGCGCTGCCGCGGCCGCGATCACTGCTCCAGGCCAGAGCATTGCATAAAACACACCTGCGAGAAAAAATATAGAATAAATCAAGAGAATCGAGGAGATCATCCACAGGGAGACGATTACCCGCAAAGATCCACAGCATCGCCCTGCGCATCGCCGTCTTCGGCCGCGCCATATTGCACAGGTATCCAAACGCGTAGGCGACGCCGGGCAGCCAGCGGCATTTCTTGGATTGCCGCTGTGCGGCGCTCGGATAGAACACGCGCACCATCGGCGGCTGGAGCGCGCCATCGCCAGATCCCTTGGCGAGCTGGAAATCCCCAAACGCCACCGGGAAACGGCCCAGGAGCTTCGCCATAGCTCCACTCGCTCAATCCAGCAAAGCAAAAAAGTGAGTCTATAGATTCCCCTAGAATATTCAAATCTCGTTAATCAACGTCCGTACAAGAACACTGTTAATCTAAACCTAACAACGGGGCATACGGTAAAAGTACGGTAGACCTTCATCACGACCGTACCAAAAAAAAAAGGCCCCTGTTTTCCAGGGCGGGAGCCTGGAAAACAGAGGCCGAGAGACGATTTCCTCGAGAGATGGGATCTAGAAGAAGCTGTCACATATATCTCTTGTTCTCGTTTGTACAGTCCTCTGGAAAACGAACGTACCTGGTACACGAAGGATCCAAACGTCCGAAACTTACGATGAATCGTTCCTCTCAACTGTGCTGGAATGGGCACGAATCGCCGTTCCTGCAAAATCCCTTCTGGTAGAACCGGCATGACGTGCCTTTCTTCTGCTGGTGAGGCACTCTCGGGCTCCGAAAGCTATCGCCCCTGTCCACCCAGCCGCTGTTTTGAGACTGGTCTCTCCATCCGGGACTCCTGTGCGGTGCTTGTGGAGGAGCACCCCACGGACCATCGTTGAAGTTACCACCACCGCCGCCACCACCGTCGGACCTCCCTGGATTCTGGCTCCACGGGTCACTTGGCGGCGATGGAGCTCCTCCTCCTACTCGTTCATGACCACCTGTGCTACTCCAATCTCCTGTTCTAGACGAAGCGTTCCAGCCACTTCTACCACCACCTGTGTTATCCCAGCCCCCTGTCCGTCCAGTGTCTAGCGGCGGAGGTGGTGGAGCACCCCAAGCCGCCGGCGGCGCTGCCACCGGCGTACGCGCCGCCGCTAGAGCTTCCACTAGCAAAACTGCCTGCTCTCGCTGGCCGGACCTCCAGACTTTGAGATCTGCTGGGAACAGCCCCGTCAAGCTCCACTTCCTGAGCTGCTCGAACGAGAAGGGGCCTTGGACTATAGCCTTGGGGTCTTGGTAGAACCATGCCTTCTCCTTCTCTGCTATCTCGGGTGGCGGCGGCGCGTTCATGTTAGCTGGAGGTGTTGAAAGATGTGGAGGCCGAGGTGGCGGTGGTGGAGGCCGTGAGAGTGGTAAAGACCCCCCTCCGTAAACCGGCTCCTTCTGTTCTGCGCTCTTATGTCCACCAAACTTCCCGTTTGATCTTCCCTCGTTTCTCCAATCGTGATCCCTGTCCCATCCTCTCTCAAAACCGTCTCTCTTGTTGAAACTGTCTTGCTTTGTGAAAGCTGGCGGATCGTTTCTCCTGTCCCATTTGTTAGGCTGATGCTCTTCTCTAATACTTCGGCTCTTCTCGGCAGTGCTGGCTACTTCAGCTGCAAGAAAAAAAGTGAGCTGTCACAGTACCAGCGAACAGACATCCACTTACCTGGCTGCTCAGTTGGGTTTGGTTCGTCGCTTGGCTCCTCGTGCTCGGGGTCCATAGTAGCGTCCGCTTCAAACGCTGGGACCTTGCTCAACTCCTTCAAGCGATAGTCTTGATTCGAAATCCTTTGAAGCTTCTCCACGCACTCCCTCAATGTACAACGGAGTTAAGGTTACACTGGGTTGGCAACAATTTCGAGAACAAAACAAAAAGGATATTCTTTCTTTCGACCCTTCTCATTGGCACGATCCCTGAGCGCGGTTAACCTTGAGGTTTCTGTCTCGAACCACTGCAACAACAGAGATAAAAGATTAACAAAGCGAAAGCGCTCATTTTCATTTACATCATTAAGCTTCGCTTCTCGAATAGACAGCGCTTTACGTTCAAAGTCTCCCTGTCATGGATTTAATTAGATCCAGATGAACACGCAAAATCTCACAGCAAAATGCATACCACAGTTGGAGCCGGGATGAACCCCCATTTGATGCTCTGCCGCAAACGCGCGCACTCCTCCTGCAGTAATTACTGTAAGGCATCCGGTATTTTGTAATGGTCAACACGCATACCTCGGTGAAATCCTGATTTGATACTAAGTCAATTGTCAGGTCCTCCTTCTTTTGTAGGTTCGTGATTAGTAAAACGATCTTCGTACTTTTTTTGCCCGCTTTGTACTCCTCAGCTTGTAATCTGGTACCTGCAACCATACGACATCGTTAGCGAGCCACGCATATAATAAAAACTACTTACCGACTATTTGAACAAGACGGTAGCACATATCATTTTTGCCTGGAACCCTTATCCTTACGAACGTGCCCACCACCTTCTGCTCAAAGTTAGGATCGCCAAGCATGTCCTCCAGTAGAGCCCTTCTTAGATATACATGACTAATGTTGCTCTGATTTATCGCCGCATACTCGTCTCCCTTGAGACTTCGCTTGTTTTTCTTTCCCTTCTCGTCATCGACTTGGCTTTCGGCTTGTTCCGTCTTTGAAGCTTTGCTCGGAAAATGGTTGTGGAGGTATTTCATCAAACTGCGCTGAGTCACGGCCTTCTTGCCGAAGAGAGACCGGAGTTGTTCGTCGCATCTTATGATGGTTTTCTTCCGCGGATTCTGGAGCTTGTTGGCCTTAATGTGATCCCATAAAAGCTTATTAACTGCGGGCCTCTTCATTGGTGTCTTTGGATCTTCCTTCATAAACTTGATAAAACTGATCATCTCCTTTGACGCCCAGCCATAAAATACCGTAGGCTTGTAAGCCTCTCCTTCCTCTTCCTCTTCCTCGTCCTGCTCTTCTTCTTCCCCTTCGTCTTCTTCTTTCTCATCGACATCCTCGGTAAGAGGTTGCTCCTTCTGCTCCTGATTTACAGTGCACTTGAACTCGTCAGAGAGAGCATTCAGGATCTTCGTCTTCCTTTCTTTCCTTATCCCAGTACCAAAAGGAACATCTTCGTCGTCGGCCATCACCACAGCTGCAGACGCTTCTGACTCGGAACTTGAAGCCTCGTCGTCCGACCGCCCGTCACTATCTGCTGCAGGTGTAGCATTCACGAACTTTCCGTCCTTGTCAAATTCTGGCAAAACGATCGTCTCTTTCGCCTTCAAATCCTCCCAGTATTCTTTGAACAGACATTCGTATGTGTCGCGGTCATTAAAATCGACCGTGTTCTGAAAGAACACATCGAGTTAGACATTTGCTAGAACTATTAATTGTTGTGACCTTACCCCTTCAGCGTTTACGGTTTCATTGAGCTCAATCATTTTAACGTAGTTCACGCACTCCTCGCACAAGCCTTTCTTCTTGTCAAATAAACTAAAACTGTGTCGACTCCTGCATCCAGCGCAGTAAGCTTTTGGACAAGTATAGCAACGAAAGCTTGCTTTCTTCGAACAGTTTTCTCCATCGCAAAAATGCCAGCCTACACAAGGAAGAGGTTACATAAATTCAAGCATGCTAAAACACAAACCGCAGTGCCAGTTTCCTTTCTTCCTGAAAAACTCTTGGTCCCTTCCGATACAGCCAAGATGGTACGCCTTTGGGCATGTCCTGTAAAAACAAACTTAGTCGAAGTGTCCTACCAAACCAAAAAAATAGTCACCTTTGATCGCACAGAATTAGATCCCCACCGTCGAAACACACAAAACAAACGTCATCCTCTTCTTTCCTAAATGACGCTTTCACGGAAGCCTTCCTTCCCCGCTTCTTACGACTTTCTTGAGGAGGCTGCTCCTGAGCCCTCTTCTTCTCGTTCGCTTTCGAGAGAATGTTGGCTTCATCCTCTTTCTCGGCCGCTTCGAAAAGCTCCATCTCTCGCTGTAATTCCGTCTTCTCCTCACAATTCTCACCGAAAGTAGCCGCTCCATCCTTGGCAGGAGCTTCGTCCTGCTCTGAAACTTCCATTCCATCAGTCGCCGCTGGCGATTCCTCTAATTTGCCACTTAATTCCTCCTTGACCTGTTCTCCCGAGACGATTTTTTCCTCCCCAGCTTGCTCCACAGCTCCAAGATTTTCGTCTCGCTCCATTTCGGCCACTCCATTCCCATCTTTGCTTCCATCCACCGCTGCCGCTACCTCTGGCTCTAAGCGCTGCTCCTGCTGCTCGTCGTCCATGCCTCTACACTAGAATTCTTCCCATCTACTGTCCTACCTTGGCGCTTCTTGCCCTAGCTTTGCCCGGCTAACGAATGAGTGGCCATTAGGGCATGGAGTATCTTGGCTGACCTAAAGAGAACGAGATAAAGTACGGCTAAGATGCTATTTTGTGCCATTTTTACGACCGCGCCGGGCCGTCCACGTGGATGGTTTCTGGAGCGTTAGATTGACAGCGTTGCACGAGAGACCAACGCAAACGGGGTTGCGCTTTCGGTCATTTTCCAAAACCCTACTCAAAGGGCGCTCTCTCTCGATCTTCCTTCGCCGCGAATCGCGAGCTTGGATCACAGTCGCAATGGCGTCGGGAGCGGGGAGAGCTCGCGCAGATTACGACTACCTCATCAAATTGCTGCTCATCGGCGACAGCGGTAAGCGAAAATCTCGCAGCGCATTTCCTGGTGGAGCGAGATCTCCTTATGATCCGCTCGAAATATTTCTCCTCGGTTGATTTACGTGCTTCTCGCGTAACAGGTGTGGGGAAGAGCTGCCTTTTGCTCCGCTTCTCGGACGATTCCTTCACGACGAGCTTCATCACAACGATAGGGTATATGGCACATTGTAAATGCGCAGCCTGGCTGACCATTTCTTCGCAGCATTGACTTTAAAATCAGGACTGTGGATCTTGATGGCAAGAGGATCAAGCTCCAAATATGGGACACCGCTGGGCAAGAGCGCTTCCGGACTATAACAACTGGTTTGTTTTGCTTTGCTCTAGTTCCATATACTTTCTAGCTAAATTCCATTCTTGCCTATGCAGCATACTACCGCGGAGCTATGGGCATTCTTCTTGTCTATGATGTTACTGACGAGTCTTCGTTTAACAGTATCCTTTGCGCGGTTTTTTTTTTTTTTTTTTTTTTGTTGTCCTTAATCCAGCTCCGGTAAAGACATCCGAAATTGGATCAGAAATATCGAGCAGCATGCTTCAGACAATGTGAACAAGATCCTGGTCGGTAACAAGGCCGACATGGACGAAAGCAAGAGGGTAAGAAACTCTGGATCTCATTTTCCCATGCGTCTCTGACTCTTCCGAATTATATCCCAGGCTGTATCAACAGAGAGAGGGCAAGCACTTGCGAACGAGTTTGGTATCAAGTTCTTTGAAACCGTGGGTATCTCTGACTTGCAGTCCTTTCGCTGAAACCTCTCTTCTGTTTCACGGACTTGCGGTACTGACTGTTTAAATGCTGCAGAGTGCAAAGACGAACTTAAACGTGGAGAAGGTCTTCTTCACAATTGCGGGAGACATCAAGCGGAGACTGGCAGAAACAGACTCCAGACCAGAGGTGCGGAGCTGCTTTTTGCCTCACAGATCTAGTGTAACGTGAAATCTTTTTCTGCAGCCTCCCCGGATCAACAATATAGTACTAGACCCGTCAAAGGATCAGGGCAGTGACAAGGCCAAGTCAACGTGTTGCACTTGAGGAGCGACAAGCAAAGCGACTCCTCGGCTTAAATGGTTTTTGTGGAAAATTTGCTCCTGGGGTACGGATTTGTCAAATTCTTTTCTCTCAATGTAACGAATTTTTAAGCTCCAGCATTGGTCCAGTGAGTCACGACGTCATCTTCTTTTTTCTGTGGCTCCAGCTTAGGGTTTGCGGTCATGGCACCATGACCAGAAGAAGCAGGGAATGGTGGAAATGTGCCAGAGTTCCCGCAACGAGGGAAGGAAGCAGGGATTTTCTTCTACAGTTGATCGTCCCCCTCCGCTTGTAGTGTGCTCGGCTATCGAGAGGCAGCGTCACTTCTTTGCTCTCGATTTTATCTCAGGTGGTGTTGCTGCTGCAGTGTCCAAGAGTGCCGCCGCGCCTCTCGAGCGAGTGAAGCTGTTGATCCA